CTTGAGCAATACCCACCACCGTGGTGTCGATTCACCTGCTTTTCCCTTTGTGCCTTTGCGGTTTTTATTGTTTTAATGCACTTTCCCTCCCTCTTCTCACTGTCTTTCCGAGAGTGAGAATTGTCCTGCTTCGTCTTTATTTACACCCCTGGATAGGGATAGTTTGGGGGAGAAAAGACCGAAATGCAGCGTTAGTTTGGGCACCTGGAACCTCAATTAAAGGGAGTGATTAATGACTCCGTGTCGCTGTCACAGCTCCGTGTGAGCTGGCACACCACGTTTTCCCACGTGTCCCGTGTTATTCACTCCCTTCCCTAATTATCCCCGCTGACAAAACCCCCGGAGAAATGGAAGGATGGAAATACAAGCTCTGGGAGGTGGAAAGACCTCCTTCTGCTTCGAGTTTTCTCTAATTGCAAGTCCCTTTTTCAGACCTTTGCAGGAGGGTAACATGCAAATATTCTGTTTTCCCGTGATTTGTCTCATTTTTACCCATTTGGAGGGACAAAATGAGCCAAAGCCTGGTTTGGGTTTGCTCCCAAACGGGGGCAGGGCAGGATGGGCCTGTTCCATGGAAGATCAGGAGCTGGGAAAGATCTTTAAAGGCCATCAAGTCCAACCCCTGTGACACGGGCAGGGACACCTTTAACGAGACCGAGTAGCTCCAAGTTCTGTCCATCCCGACCTTGACTGTTTTCAGGGATGGGACAGCTCTGGGCAAAATCTCTTTGTGGGTTTAGGTCAAAATGTAGTGAATTGGGACCGTGTTTTGGGGCACCATCCGTAGGTTTTGGGTATTTCCAAAGGCTGGAACGTGCTGGTGAGACATTCGTGTCCCCACCGTGAGATGTGCTGGCCCTGCCTCGCACAAACCAGTCTGTTCAACTCAATAATGCAGGAGAACAGAGGGCACCTCTGGGGGGGTCACCCAGGACAGCCCTGGGTGCATTCCAGGTGGGAATGTGGGGAGGAGGAGATGTGGTGAAGGCAGCAGCAGTCGCTGCAAATATCCATCTCCTGCTCCCAGCTCCGGGATGTCATTCCATATTATCTGTGCCAGGTCCAGCAGCTGTCACAGAGTCTCCCAGTGTCGTGCAGGTCGCTTTGATGTCTCTATTTTAGTCAGCTGGGCACGAAAAATCAGAGCAGAGGCACCTTGTGTTGCTCCAGCCTTTCCCTGAGGCTCCCTTCTTTTTTCCTCCTCCGTGCCCACGCCTGGGCTGGGAATTCCACTGAGGGAGTTAACGACAAAGGCAAAGCATCACCACAAATCCTTTGAAAACGTGGATAGAGGTGTTGAAAACAACATAACTTCCCTAAATTTATAATTAATGGTAGCAGTTGGTGGGTTTCTTTTACCAGACTCGTTGGTTTGATCTTTAAACCACTGAAACTTGAAGTTTGTCTGGACTGGCTCTGATGGGTTTTAGAAGACAAAGCTTGAGGGAGCTGAGGGTTGGTTATCTGGGATCTTAAATTTATGAGAAACATGTTGGAGTAACCAGAAGATACACAGATTAGGAAAGACATCTCAGCCTGAGAGCTGGAGACTCCCTGTCTGAGGAGGAGTGATAAGAGGACGAAGGAATGCACACCAAATTAGCCAATGAAGGATAGAACAGTGATTAATGAGGAGAATTGTGGAACTCAGAACCAAGAAACATCAATTTCCTTGTTTGCTGAAATGCATAAACAGGTCTCGAAAGGACACTTGTGCAGCTGGAATGAATCTCTGGCCAGAACAAAGCAGTGCCTGGCTCACAAACACTTCAGAGCTGGGCTTGGAGGGTTTCATTTCTTCCTGACCATTTCTGGGGGCGGAGAACTCCCAGATGTGTTTGTGAAAAAACATATTGGACAAAGATCAGAACAGCAGGGGTTGGGTCTCCCCTCTGGGCTCTGGGAATGATGTTTGTGTGGTTGATTTGTGTCCCTAACCTCTGGCCTTGCCCCCCCCCTCCCCAGGCAAAGCCTACGCCCCCGAGTTCTACTACGACACCTACAACCCGCTGTGGCAGAACCGGCCCCGGGTGTATTCCTACAGCCTGCAGTGGACGCAGATGAACCCCAGCGCCGTGGATCGCATCCTCGCCTACCGCCTGGGCATCCGCCAGGTCAGCCAGCCGTGCGGGCTGGGGAGCTCTGGGAGGGACTCTGGGCCTTGATTTAACTGTATTGAATTTTAATTTTATGAGGTTTATTTTACTTTATTTTATTTTTCTATTCCATTCCACTCTTGTCTTTCTCTTCTCTTTCTCTCTTCTCTTCTCTTCTCTTCTCTTCTCTTCTCTTCTCTTCTCTTCTCTTCTCTTCTCTTCTCTTCTCTTCTCTTCTCTTCTCTTCTCTTCTCTTCTCTTCTCTTCTCTTCTCTTCTCTTCTCTTCTCTTCTCTTCTCTTCTCTTCTCTTCTCTCTCTCTTCTCTCTCTCTTCTCTCTCTCTTCTGTCTCTCTTCTCTCTCTCTTCCTCTTCTCTTCCTCTTCTCTTCCTCTCCTCTCTCTTTCCCTCCCCTCTCCCCAAACCTTCCCTTTTCTTTCCTTCCCTTCCCAAACCTTCCCTCCCCAGCCCTCCTTCTCTCTTCTCTTCCCTTTCTTTTGTTGTCTTCCATTTCACTGCCACAATCCATCCACCTCCAAGTCACCCTTGCTGTGAACCCTTCCTTGGCCACCCCATCCACCTCCAAGCCTCATCCCACCGCTTTGGGCTCCAGGCTTGGTCTGGGTGTGACCCACTCGAGGTCCCAGTGCTCCCACCCCTCCATCTCCTGATCCCCTTCCCCCAGTCCCTCTCCCAACCTGAACCTTCTCCTGTGAAATTCCCCATTCTCAGCCCTGAGAACCCACCTGGCATCGATTTGGGTTCATTTTCCTTTAAATACCCCCCCGACTGGCTGATTTCAAAGCTGTGTATTTGGTGACTGAACGCCTGAAATAACCGTTTGTGCAGGGAGGGAGAGGTTGGGGATTAAGGCAGATTTCAGGGACGTATATTTTGGCAAAGCTGAGGCAGAAAACAGCTCGTTATCCCCCAGATCTCCCACTGGGATGAGCTTTGGGAGCTGCAGAACAAACAGGCCGTTTGAGCACATTATTTATGCTGAACAGACACGGGGGTTGTGCTTGAGCAACTTCCCCGCCAGTCCTGGAGATGACTGGGACAAACCCAGGGAAGGGCTTTGGTACCTGGAGGGCCCTGGCTCTCCTTCCCTCTCCTTCCCTCTCCTTCCCTCTGCCTGAATCCCACTCATTTGAAATGAAAATCGGTGACTTTTAATCCGTGTTTGTGCCACTGTTTGCATGGCTGGGCACAAATGAGGGCCGTGATTCCCCGGCCCCGAGAGGAATTAGGGAATTATGAGGAGAACTCGCTGAAGTCAAAGAATATATAATGAAATTAATTGCATTAGGATTTTTAGCTTCTGCTTTTTTTTTTTTTTTTTTTTTTTTTTTTTTTTTTTTTTTTTTTTTTTTTTTTTTTTTTTTTTTTTTTTTTTTTTTTTTTTTTTTTTTTTTTTTTTTTTTTTTTTTTTTTTTTTTTTTTTTTTTTTTTTTTTT